CTCTCTCTCTCTCTCTCTCTCCCCCCTTCCTCTCTTTCTAAAAAAATCAATAAAAAACATCTAAAAAAAATATTTGACAAATAAATGACACTAACAGAATTTGTTCAAGTAATGCCTACCAACAAGTTAAACTGCAAGAAGGGACAATTTGGTTCAGCCATGTTGCTCATTTCATTCATTTAAACACCTCGTATGTGAGATTCTTACTTGGAAATGTAATAGGACAAAGTGTGAGGCTAAAGGGATCACTCATTTCTTCAATGAGGATAAAAGTGAGTATTGCTTAAATAACTAAATACATATGACAAATTCTTTCAGTTTTCTTCTACCTGAGACTGTATTGATTTCACCTTTGTTCCTAAAGGACATTCTCACTAGGTAAACAATTATGGATTGGCATTATTTTCAGTTCTTGAAATGTTGATTTCCTTCTGGCCTCCATGATTTCTGATGAGAAATTTGTTGTCATTTGGGTCATTGTTCCCTTAAAGCTAATGAATCTTTTCTGCTTTCAAGAGTTTTACTTTGTAGGTTTCAGAAATTTGATTATGAGTGCCGTAGATTTCTTTGAATTTATACTTAAAAAAAAATTCTTACCCAGGAACATTTTTCTATCTATCTTCAGATAGAGTGGTGCAGGGGGAAGTGGGGAGAGAGACAAACATTGATGTGAGAAAGACACATCAATTGGTTGCCTCTCACACAACCCCAAATAGGGCTGGGAATTGAACCACAACTGAGGTATGGGCCCTTGATTGGAATAGAACCTGCCACTCTTTGGTCTGAGGGCCGAAGCCCTAAACGCTGAGCCAGACTGGCCAGAGACAAATTTATGTTTTAAATTCACTCAGTTTCTTAAATCTGTAGGTTCATGCCTTCCAGTAAATTTGGAGACTATTTGGCCAGTTTTTCATTGAATACTTGTTCAACCCACTGTATATTATTTTTGTGAACTCTGAAAACACCATTGTTAGATCTTTGTTACTATTCTATAGGTTCTTGAGACTTTTTTTTTTGCCCCAGCCCATTTTTTCAGTTGTTCAGAATGGGAAATTAAGTTTATGGACTCTCTCCTCTGATATCACCGTTCTACTATTGTGTGCTTGCAGTGAGTTTATTTTACCTTTTTTCCAGTTTATAATTTCCATTTGTTTCTTCTTTATATTTTCTATTTCTTTACTGAGACTTTCTATATTTTAAATTATTTCAAGTGTGTTTATAATTGCTTAGTGAACCATTTTTATGACTGCTTTAAAATCCTTGTCAGAAGCCCGGCCCATGTCACTCAATGGTTAGAGCATCAGCCCAAACACCGTAGAGTCTTGTGGGTTTGATTCCCTGTCAAGGACATGAACCTGGGTTGCAGGTTCCATCCTGGTCCCGGTTGGGGTGTGTGTGGGAGGCAGCCTATCAATGTGTCTCTCTCATATCGATGGTTCTTTCTCTCTCTCTCCCCTTCCCTTCCTCCCTCCCTCCCTTCCACTCTCTATACGAAAATTAATGGAAAAAATATCTGGTGAGAATTTAAAATAATAATAATAATAAAATAAATAAATAAAATAAAATCCTTGTCAGATAATTCCAATATCTATGTCATACCATTGTTAGCATCTGTTGTCTTTTCTGATTCAAGTTGAGATTTTCTTGGTATGGTGTATTATTTTTTTCTATGTATCCTGGACATTTGGGCATTATGTTATGAGACCCTGCATCTTATTTAGATCTTCTGTTTTAGCAGGCTCCCTCTGATGCTGTGCCAGCAGGGGAGAGGAATAGAAATCTAGGCTACCCATGTGGCCTCCAGTGACATTCCACCCCACTGGGAAAAGGGGTTGGGGGGGAGTACCTTGTTACCATCAAGTGGGGGTGGAGCTTCAGGGCCCCCACTCTGCCTCCTCTGCACCACTCCAGAAGAAAGGGCGAGGAGTGCCTTATTGCCTCCAAGCAGTGATGAAAGTCTAGGCTCTCCACGAAGTATTTGATGATGAGGGTGAGCATGGAGGCATGGCATTTTCCTTGCAGTTTAGGTACAGCAGGGTAGTTTTTGTCCAAAGTTTTGTCTTGCTGTACTGTCCCTTTCCTCATCCATTGGCAAGAGAAATCAGGCTTTGGAGGGTGGGATACTTTCTTTAAACGCATTGGCATTTCTGGGTTGTGAGCTTCTCCAGCAATCAGTTTAGGATATAAAAGAGTTCAGGGAACTCAACACGATGCTGTTCCTTAAATCCAGCATCCCTGGACAGTCTCCCCCCTCTCCATCTTCCAGAGTCTTATGTTCATTTTATACATATGTTCAGGGTTTTTAGCTTGCTTAATGGGAGGAATAGGGAGAAATGCAACTGCTCCATCTTTTCTGGAACCAGAAGTCCAGCTCCCTTAACAGAAGATATTGCTTTCTTCCTGGGGTAATTCTATTACACCCACCTGATGGAATGGGAGGAACTTCTCCAGCACAGAACAAAATCTAGTTACACATCTGTTCTAAACAAGGCCAGGTGTCCTTCCCCAAGGACCTCCTCTGCCTGATATGTCCACCATTCACTAATTGAGGAGCAAGAGAGAAATATTAGGAAAAAGTACATTTAGAGGATGGAGAAATTTATAAGATAAAAACTGTGTAGGGGTGGTTTATCAACATTTTTTCTTTTACTCCAGTACTTCCCACACTTCAGTGGATAATAGGAAAAAGGGAAATGCATTTAGAAAGTGAGCTTTAAAGATTCATTTTTAAAGTGTTACAGACTTCCGGTCAAGATGGCAACATAGATAAACATGGTACTCCCCTTCTCCCACAACCACATCAAAATTACAACTAAACTACAGAACAACCATCATTCAGAACCACCTGAAATCGAGCTGAATGGAAGTCCTAAAAGAAGCCACATTGAGATTGCAATCAAGACTCAATTACTAGAGAAGTGGGTACAGTCCACACGAGGGGTGCACCTTGTGGGCCCAGCTGGGGTGAACAGGGAGGCTGTGTCACTGAGCCCTACAGGACACCTACTACAATAGGCCACCCTAGGAAGCCTAGGAGGCATAGCAACTCTACCTAATTCAAAGAAACACAGGGAGGCAGCCAAAATGAGGAGACAAAGAAACAGGTCCCAACTGAAAGAATGGAACAAAACTCCAAGAAAAGAACTAAACAAAATGGAGCTAAGCAATCCAACAGATGCAGAATTCAAAACACAGGTTATAAGGATGCTCAAGGAACTTAGTGAGGACTTCAAGTAACTTAGCGAGGACCTCAAGAGCATAAAAAAGAACCAGTCAAAAATGAAGGATGCACTAACTAAAATAAAAAATAATTTATAGGGAATCAATAGTAAAGTAGGTAAAGCCAAGAAGCAAACCATCGATTTGGAATATAAGGAAGCAAAACACACCTAATCAGAACAGCAAAAGGAAAAAGAATCCAAAAATATGAGGGTAGTGTAAGGAGCCTCTAGGACAAATTCCAGCATACCAATATTCACATCATGGGAGTGCCAGAAGAAGAAGAGAAAGAGCAAGAAATTGAAAACCTATTTGAAAAAATGACAGAAAACTTCCCTAACTTGATGAAGGAAACAGACATACAAGTCCAGGAAGCACAGAGAGTCCCAAACAAGATGAACCCCAAGAGGCTCACACCAAGACACATCATCATCAAAATGCCAAAGGTGAAAGACAAAGAGAGAATCTTAAAAGCAGCAAGAGAAAAGCAGTTAGTTACTTACAAAGGAGTTCCCATAAGGCTATCAGCTGATTTCTCAAAAGAAACTTTGCAGGCCTGAAGGGAGTGGCAAGAAATATTTAAAGTGATGAAAAGCAAGGACCTACAACCAAGATTATGCTATTCTGCAAAGCTATCATTTAGAAACAATGACCATATAGAGTTTCCCAGGCAAGAAAATGCTAAAGGTGTTCATCACCACCAAACCAGTATTATATAAAATGTTGAAGGCTCTTCTTGAAGAACAAAAATATGAACAATAAAATTGCTATAAATAAATATCCATCAACAATTGAATCTACAAACAAAATAAACGAGCAGTACAGAAACAGACTCATAAATACAAAGAACTTTTTTTTCCTTTATTGATTTTAGAGAGAAAGGAAGGGAAAAGGAGAGAGAGATAGAAACATCGATGGGAGAGAACATCAATTGGCCATCCCTGTATGCCCTCCACTGGGGATCGGGCCCATAACCTGGGCATGTGTCCTGACTGGGAATTGAACTGGTGACCTCTTGGTGCATAGGTCAGTGCTTAGCCGCAAGCCACACCAGCCAGGCAAATACATAGAACTTTTTGATGGTTGCCAGATGGGAGGGGGCTTGGGGGATGGGTGAAAAAAGATGAAGGGATTAAGAAATACAAATTGGTTGTTAAACTGACAAACCTCAAAGGGAAGGGGGAAGGGGGAAGAGATAAACACAAGAACTTATATACATATATGCATAACCAATGGACACAGACAATAGTATGGGGAAGGCAGGAGGGGGGAGGGATTGGGAAGGAGAGGGTCAAGGGGGAATAAAAGGGGGCCATCTATAATACATTCAACAATAAAGATAAATTTAAAAAGAAAAAAAAAGTGTTACATATTTTTCCTCCAGAATTCCACCCCTCACCCCAGGTAATGATTAAAAAAGAAAAAAAAAACTTTTCTTTGTTCTCGTTTTTATTTAGATTTTTACTTAATTGGACCTGTAACCTTGCACTTTTGGTTAATGTATCATAGGATCTCTATCTAATAATAACAAAATCAAGCAGATTGTAAAGATGACAAGTTATGAACTTGATGTTGACACTAATGGTCATTAAAGACCAAACTTACGTACTTACTGAGGTAATAAATAATGTGTTAATCTTGTTTTATAGCTTTTTCTTGGTTGAACCAACAGATCTACCCTAGGTTTGATGATTGATGATGCCTGGAGTTGGATGTTAAGAGTTTTGTTTTTTGTGGTTTTTTTTTTTAAGAATTACTTTTTCTTCTACTTTTGGTATTTCCTATCTTAGGCTGCTGGTTGGCCTCTTTTTTCTCCAGAGAGCTCTTGTAAGACGAATATTGAATCTGTTATTACGAGCTTTTTTATTACGACAAGAATCCTGGCTTTTATAAAAGGTGTCTTTATTCTGAAATGTACCTTCCATGTCTTGCAGTTTCTGCTTGTACCTTTCTACCTTCTCTGCTTCCAGTAGCTTCTGTTCTTTCTTGTCCTGTTCATGGTTCATCTGGATTGGCTTCTCCTGCAGAGTTGCATCCTTCTGATAACGGAGTTCCTTGAGGAGCTCTACTCTCTGCTGTAAGAATTGGCATTCATTCTCCAGCAAAGCTGCAATCAAATGCAATGAATGCATGTCATGGTTCAGTTTCCTCACCTGTGCCTCCAGCTCATAATTAGCTGGCACCTTGTTATTCTGTTGCGTTTGGAAGTGGATTCCCTTACTTTTAAGAGTCACTCTTATGTCATTCTGAGATTTCTGATACACTTTTATTAGTTCACTAAGTTCAGCATGTTGCACACTCCAAAGTTCTGCTTCCTGTAGTAACTGCTCCATGTTGTTCCTAAGTTTGATACTCTCTTCTTGAACATGGTGGAATCTGCTTTCTGCTTTTTCCTTACTTAGTTGAGTTTCATTAACAGCTCTTTTTTCTTCTGAATGATTTACCAAATCCCTTGCCAAATCTTGTACTGTGTCCTTTGAGTTCTGGTTTTCCGACGTTATCTCCTGTTTCTTCGAATTCTGGTCCTTGTCTAGGTCTAAACAACCAAGGTTTGTCAATAGCACTTTATTTATTTTATCAAGTCCTCTAATTTGTTCTTTAAGTTCTGACTCATCCTCAGAGATATTGGTTTCCTCCGAAGATTCTCTTGTTTTTGTGATCTTCTCATAACATTTTGTGTTTTTGAGAAGATCGTTCATTTCTTTTAAGAGATTGTCAAATTTCTTTGTTGTCTGTTGTTTAGTTTCTTGATGATGACTATTATTTAAGGAAGGGAAAGAACTCCAGGAGGCAGGGAGAAGTGGTTCAATCTCAACTAAGGCAATGACAGTAGTCTTAGGGTCTATATTGAGATCAAGAGTAGGTTTACGAGTTTTGGAGAGGGCGGGCACTTCCATCTCAGCTGAGTTAGTAGGACTGGTGGTCAGGGCACGAGGAAAGCAGAAAACCTTAGAGATTCCAGAAAGGTGACGGTCCTCTGTGCAAATGGGTAGAGAATGTGGAACTAAGCAGAAGACAGAGATCAGAGTTACAGTCTGAAATGAGGTAGATGATGTTTAGGTGGAAGGTGACGTCTTAGACAATTTAATGGGGAGGGAGGGTGGGAAAGGGGACCAGGAAGGAGGTAGGGCCCATCTGTCCTCCAGGCTCCTGGTATTTATTCCCTGACCCTAGCAACCAGGTCTTTGTTGTGTCACTGCACCATTGTGGCCTGTCCCCAGTTTCTGTTTCCTTTGTGTCACAATTGAAGATGCTTAACCCCCTACACAGGGGACTCATGCATCAGAATCAACCTTGAGCTAATCCTACTCTTTACCCCAGAAGGATCTCTAGGTTTTTATTAATCTCATTCTAACTGTAGTTAGTGACTTTCCTACCTCATTCCCACCACTCACAACCATAACCTTAACTGCAGTATGTTTGTCTACTACCTAAGTGTATGGCTGAGAGAACTCTTGCCTGATGAGGTTTCTCATCCTTTCGTAGCACCTGGAGACCTTATTGCTTCCATTCAGGGGAAACGCTACTACCAAAGAAAGTTATTCTTCCAAAACAGAACCCCAAAAGTGCTGCATCTCTTTGTGATTTTAGGGAAATAATATCAGAAATTGTTCCATTCAAAAATATTCTACTGCAGTAAGAAGAGAGTATTTGAATGGTTATCAACAACACAATTGCAAACTGGGACTTTTCATGGCTTCAAATACAGGCATCCTTTAAGATGGGCTTGGTGAGCTTCTCCTGAGTCGTTTACATCAGGCGATGTAAAACTTTTAATCGTCACTTTTCACAAGAACTTGTTAAAATGGCATAATTTATCAAAAGCATTTTCGAACAGCTAAGATCCTATAGTGGGTTATAGAAAAGTAACTGAAGTGACCTTGAGAATATTAAGTTCAATCAAAGAACACTTTCCTTAAGTGAGACTTTTTCTTGGCCTTCAAAATCTTGCACTTTAGTAACCAGAAGTTTGCTTTCCATCTTAGGGGAGAATCATACTCCGGCAGTTTTCTTTCATTTCACAGCTGCCAGCTCACTTTGGCCTCAGTTCCCCTGAGCCTCATGCGTCTCCCAGCCAGCTGGGCTCAGAGCCATCGCCTGGGGACTGACGAGCCGCAGATACACCTCTGTTAGTCTGTTTTTACTTACATAGTGGGCACCTTTTCTAATTCACCTAATGATACCATAGAGGCTAGCAATTATGCTTTAATGTCATCTCATAACGTTTGACTTTGGTTAGTATTTCTCCTTTGATTCAAGCTATCATTTAAGATTGTTTTATAATCTTCAGAACAAAATAACTTTTTTTTTCTGATTTGGTAATTAATGTCTAGCTATATTGCATTGTAATTAGAAAATATAATATTTCTACCTTTTGAAATTTATATTTTCTCTTTGGCCTAATATTTGAAACAAAAATGTATTCTCTTTTTTTTTCTTTTGCTTGCAGCTTTTTGGTACTTTTGGACATAAACGTGATGTTATTCTCGTCTTTGATTTTTAAGGAAACTGGTAGCTTAGTCAAGATGGCAAAAGAATGCTTTTCCTTTCTTCAAAAGGGAATTTAAGTATTTTCTTTCTCCTTACAAATATAATGATTTTCAAATAACATTTCTGTTAATTTTACTGAAATTTGAATTTGTTATAGATGCTAAAAGATATTCAGAGTGGTCCTCTTTTTCTTATCAACCCATATTCCCAGTGAGTAACTATGGAAGTTAATAGATTTGATTGTCTTACAGTTGCTATCTCTTAAGTTTCCCAAAGCCTAATGTCTTTTTAAAAAGAAGAGCAAAAACCTGTTTCTAAAATTATCACAGAGAAAACTTATATAGAATTTTCTCTCTTCAAAACCAGTTTGCCTTAACTAAAAGAAATATGTCATATTAAAAACTACATAATATCAATATGTATTATTTCTAGTGATGTTAACCTTGATCAATTTAAGTGATGTTTGCTAAATTTAACTGTTATAGACTTACTATTTTTTCCTTTGTAATTAATAAACATTATAGGGGAGATATTCTGAGTCTATGAAATTATCCTGCTTCTTCACAAAATTTTGCCTGTACAGTATAATTTTAGTATACAGAGATGGATCTTGCCTGTAACAATTATTACAGTGGTGATCTAATGGTGATATTTTATTTCTTTCATTTCTTTTATATTTATTGATTGGAATTGTTTTGTAAAGAAGAGCTGCCCTTTTACTCTATTTACTAATTGATTGATTTATTCATTCATTCAACTATTTGTTTATATAAGTATGGACTAAAGATATTTATTTTATTTTGTGAGTTATAACTGAATACTATCATTTATTTTCTTGCTCAAATGTGTGTGAATAGTGAATTATTTTAATATAATGAAACATTTTTGGTATAATTAAAATATTATTTTGTGTAATTGTTTTAATGGTCAAATAGTTTTTTTTTTTTTTCATTTATTTTTGTTTTTACCAAAGAATAATAGCTGATTAGTGATGACTGACTATTCAAGGGTTAGTTTTTATGTACACAAGGGATTCTATGCAGGTGTGATTTTAAACATAATAACCTGTGTGGTTGATTTTATATGTGGTATTGTACTTGTGTATAGCCAGTTTAGGGAGACATTTTTTGAAAATGTGAAATTTTATTCAAACAAGCAAGTCTATTAACCCTTTTCCTCAGCATGTCCTCTTTTCTTTGACCACCAGGTGGTGCTGTGGGCTTTAAAATTACTATCTAAACTTTTTTTTTTTTTTTAATTGAACTCTAGAAAGACTGGAACCCTGGAGATAGTCTTATCCACAGTCTTATTTTCTTCAGAATTTGAGGGTGGAGATTCTAAGTGATTTGCCCAAAGTTACAGCTAGTTATGAGAAGAGCTGTAATTAGAGCCCAAACCTCCCGCCTTAACTTGTTAAACTTGCAGGGAAGCAGGCTGTGCAAGATCTGGAGGCTGTGGAAGGGGTTTGCAGTGTCTGCTAAGTGTCCACAGGAAAGGGTATGTGGAAGAGCAGGTTTCAAAGTGCTGAGACCGGCCTGTTCCACAGGACGCTGGCAGACAAACCCATATATAACACAAATGGCATTTTACTGACAAAAATGTGACCAGAGGTTTGAAAGAATTAAACTTTGTATTTCTTAGAAGCAGTAGTTAGTTCTGTCTTCCCTAATTCAATGTTATTAGCAACTTTATAACATAAGTACTGCTAATAACCAGAATCAGCTGTATGTAGGAAAAAATTAACAAAAGGGGCACTCTGCAAACTACAAATAATTATTGAAATAAATTAAAGATCTAAATAAATGAAAAAACATCTCATGTTGATGGACATGAAGACTTGATAATGTTAAGATTGCAAAACTCCCTAAATTGAACTGCAGATTCAACATAATCTCTGTCAAAATCCCAGCCACCTCTTTTGCACAAAATTGACAAGATGGGCCTAAAATTCATATGGAAATTCAAGGGATCCAGAATAGCCAGAACAATCTTGAAAAAGAAAAACAAAGTAGAAAGACTCACATGACCTTATTTCAAGTCTTACTCTAAAGATATAGTCATCAAAACAGTGTGTTATTGGTGAAAGGGTCGACAGACACATAGATCAATGGAACAAAATAGAGAGCTCAGAAATGGATCCACACGCATATAGTCAACTGATTTTTATCAGAGGTACAAAGGCAAGTCAACCCACAATGCTGGATAAATTGGACATCCATATGCAAAAAAAAGCAATAAACCCTGAGACATACCTCACACCTTACAAAAAAAACTAACTCCAAATCGGTCATATACTTAAATGTGAAATACAAAAAAATTTTCTAGAAGAAAATTTTAGAAACATAGGAGAAAGTCTGTGTGACCCTGGATTTGGTGATGAGTTTCTTGATACAACACTATAAGCATAATCCATTAAATAAAAATTCGATGACTTGGGATTTCTCAAAATTAAAACTTTTTATTCAGTGAATGAAATGACAAGACACATATCATCTCCACACACAGGATCATTGTGTGTGTGATGAGAGCATCTGAAATCTATTCTTTCAGCATATTTCCAGTGTTTCTTTTTCTTTTTTTAATTGATTTTTAGAGAGAGAGGAAGGGAGAGAGAGAGACAGAAACATCGATGAGAGAGAACATCTACTGGCCTCCTCCTGCACGCCCCCCACTGGGGATGGGGCCCACAACCTGGGCATGTGTCCTGACTGGGAATCGAACCGGCGACCTCTTGGTGCATGAGTCAACACTCAACCACTGAGCCACACCAGCTGGACATATTTTCAGTGGTTAATACAGTATTGTTAAGTATAGTCGTCACGTTTGTACGTTGGGTCTCTGAACTTACCCTGGTTTTCGGTTAGAATTCATTCACGGCTGGCCCAAGTAGACCAAGCAGTTTCTAACTCCTACATACTGTGTCTGAGGATCCCTAGGATGCTTGGAAGACAGATTGTCAAGATGACATGCTATAAACCAAACATTGTCATGCTTTTATGGTAATTAATAAGACTAATGATTATGTAATTACATTAAAAGATTACAGAGGCCTTGAATGATGTAAATAATTAATCTTCCCTTACTGTAATGTTTCTTGGTCATCAATTCTGCCTTGTTCTGTAATTTCTCAAGACAAGCTTCTATCTCTAAAACTAAAAGGGCAAAGGAGCCCTAGCTGGTTTGGCTTAGTAGTTAGAGCATCAGCTCACGGACCAAAGGGTCTCCATCAAGGGCATATACCTTGGTTGTGGGTTTGATCCCCAGCTCCAGTCAGGGTCATGCAGGAGGCAACCAATCCATGTGTCTCTCTCACACTGATGTTCTCTCTCTCTCTTTCCATCCCTCCCTCACATTCTATCTAAAAAAATCAATGGAAAGATATCCTCAAGTGAGGATTTATAAGGTTAAG